AGGAGGATGGAAGGGCAGTTTGAAGCGTGGCTTTTAGAAAGGAACTGGTGCAGAATGTGCAAGGCACAGTTAGGGAACGCAGAGTTTTAGGCTCCTCAAGGGCTCCCCATAAGGTCCTAGATACAGGAGCTTCAGCATGGTAAGCGAGGCTTGGCCCGCTGGGCCTACATGTCACTGCTGACCTCCCTGCGCAACCTCACCCTGGGGTGGATGGCATCAGAACAGCATTTTGGACTCTCCCACTGACAGCAGTAAGATGTACGGGAGAAGTGGATGGAAAGAGGCTGCTGTATAATCCTGGAGAGAAGTTATGAGAATCTGAAAAAGTCAGTGGCAATGAGGAGGGGTAAGGAACATAAAGAAGTTTCATGTGTTATTTTTGAAAAAAGCTATTTTCTATATTTCTTGCAATGTTCTTTTGCAAAAACTGGGCTAGGATTTCAATGTTATTTTCATTTCATTCAAATCTAGCCATTCAGGTCCTTTTAGCTAACCAGGATGTTTTTGGAATAGCTTATTTTTATACATATATAAATTGTTTTGCAGGAACAACTTCTCTCACAAGCATTTGGCTTCTGAGGTAGGTCTTCATGGCAATAGTTCAGGGCACCAGGGACTTTGAAGTATAGCTTTTACCATTCTTTCCAACCAATATGTCTCCAGAGTCTAATATATGTAGGATACTGTATTAAACATGATAAGCCTGGATAAGTTTGCATCAAAATTTGGTAAATGAAGTTATTGCTTTTCCCTCTTTAGACTCAGTCTCCTTAAAATCTCTCCTCTCTGCCCATGGTCTTTCCCCAGTGCTATAACTTCAGTTTAAACTACTTCATCTCAGTACTGATTATGGCAGTATTCTCAGGTCTGCTCTTTGCCTCCAATCTTGACCACTTCTGATATACCCTCTGTAAGCAAACAGAGCCATCCTTCTAAATCAAAATCTTATATCACTTGGCCAGGAAAGCGAAGTGATTTATCATTGTGTGTGTGCAGGCTTCACAGGAGGAGGTATGCTGATGAGAATGAGCTACTGTGTGGCTGAGTGGGAGAGGAGAGTTGAGCCTGGAGAGGGAGGTAGAAATAGTGGTAGACCAAGCAGGACATTCAGGTCATGATGATCGTCCCGTCTTAAGAATAGCAAGACATCTCAGCATCCTTGAAAGGAAGGAAGACTTTGGAGGCAGTGATATCAAGGGGTACAGAGTAATTATGTCTATAATTACTTTATCCCAGAACTTTTATTTATTCTGGTGATTATACATAGTTATCTTTGTGTTCTACTATCTGAAATTCTTATTTCACCCTTCTTAGTATTATGTTGTCCTTTTGTGTTCGTCTTTAGTACACCTAACTAAGACCTGTTTTAGTTGAAATAGAGAAAGCATCAAGATAGCTCAGGGTAGTGTGCCTAACGTTTTCTGTAATGGCCATTCTTTTGACCCATTGATCTGGCCAATATGTACATCCTTATCATAAGTTCTTTGGTAATAGGATTTTGGAATTCTAATAAATACTATGTTGCTACATAGTATTTATTAGACAGAATTTTACATGGACTTTGGTGTTTTAGTCTAAATAGGGCTTGAAATTATGTGATATTTCCAACTATCATCCTCCCTGGAACCCCCAGATGTTTCACATATCTATCAGTTAACAATAAAGTTTTCTCTTTCTTTTCAATGGCCAATTAAGAATTTATAGTTGCTATCAGGCAAATATATATATAGTATTTATCATTCTGTTTTTAAAATAAACCTTTATTGAGAATCACCTCTTCATCGTGCATTCTGCTAAAGTATTCAGAACACAGAGGGGAAAAACAGACACAGTCTAGGTCCCCATGTTACTTAAAGTTTAATATAAAAAATAGATAAATGCACATACAATTAAAAAAGATAGTTTGAGTGCTGTGCTAGAGGAAGGCATAAAATGAAAAATAGGGGAACATAAAGGAGGATCTCTAACCTAGCGACTCACTCATCTCATCTAGGCTGAGGCAGAATAAACTATTGGAAAAAGTGAAAGCTAATTTAAATCTTCAGGATAGATAGGACTATCTATCTATCCTGGAAAATTAGAGTTCTATGTAGAAGAGGCTGTGTGGGCAGAAATACAAAAGGCTTTAGTGAGTGAAACACATTTGAGGAATTGCATGAGGTTGAAAGTGGTGGTGGTGTAGGATTCAGGCAGGAGGGAGGTGAGAGAGGAAGCTCTAGATATTGGTATATATTGACTGTTGCTATATGACAGATGTGCAGGCAGAAGGGAGCAAATCCTAGGGCTCCACCTCCAAGCACAGCTGAAATCCAGCCATCTTCACTGCCATCAGTTTGGTTCTAAACATCGCAATCTCCTGCATGGGTTATGGCAGTCACCTTTTATCTAGTCTTTCTGTCCTGACTCTGCTCAATTTGCAGCCAGAATGTTTAGAACACTAGCAAATCATGTCACTCCTCCACTGAAGACCGTCCAATCATACTCAGTGTACAAGCCCAAGTTCTTATAACTCTACTTAGTACTTTTTAAGATACTATGTAGATTATTTATTTGGGTTGTTTATAGTCTCCTGTAGTAGAATAGAAGGGCCATGAAGCCAGGGAATTTTGTCTGTTTTATTCACAGATGTGTTACAAACAGCTCAAATAGTGCCTGGGTCTAAGTTGGCAGTCAGTATTTGTTGAAAGAATGAATGACTGAGATCCCAGATATATCATGATGTTCACCTCATTCGTCATCATGGAATAAGTTTGTTCCAGTTCATCTGAACCACATGTGCCTCCCTTGCCCCTCCCTGACCCAGTTTAATAGATAAAGATAGATAAATGCCATCCGCAGAACTGAAATGAACTGCTTTTATAGATACATCTTAACCTGTTTTTTGTTCTCATCCAAACCTGCACTAGATGACCATGTGCTTTTCTTTCTTGTGTCAGCTCCTCTTTCCTGCTATGAGTTCTCTGGGAATATGATTAGACCCATGTGTGCAAGCCAGAGGTGAAATCTTGGCATTTCAGTGAAAGGAGAGTGGTGTTCTGTGAAACTGTAACGGGATCTGAATGATAACAGTCACCAGGATCCTGGTGTAAATCACATTCTCATTTTTGAAAGCCAGCCTCTCCTCCCTCCGTCCCCCTCTGCCTCTCGGTACTGTTGCCTCCATGCTGTGAAAATGGACTGCTCTATTTTCTCAGGCTCCATAGGGGTATTAAGCATCTGATTTCTTCATAAATAGAGCAGAGAAATATAACCATACAATAACATTGTGAACACATTTAACAATATTGATCTAGGGAGTAAAAGAGCTAGACCTTTTGTTACATTGTCTGCTCTTCCAGTCAGTAAATGTTATTGTGACCATTGAGTGATGTTTCAAACCAGCCTATACTGTTAAGAGGGTATTAATTAGGTTAATGATGTCGAGTAATAGGTTGTTAAGCAATTATTTTTATATATCATGAGAGGTGAGAAATGGTCCTCCATGTACCATCTCGGGTTGTTTTGGATCTTTAGTCTACATATGCTCAATATTGTGTAGATGAACAGCATACTGGTAAACACTGTGGGAGAGAAAAGGCAAAATGCCTTTTTTTCCTCTATATTTTTATTGGTGTATTATGGTTGTACAGATTGATGAGATTTGTTGTAACATATTCATATATGCACACAATATAATAATATAATTTGGCTAATATCACTCCCCAGAATTTTCCCCCACCCCTCTATTTTCCTACCTCACACTCTTTGTTTCCTTTCCTCAGCTGGCCTCCCTTTGATTTTTAAGAGTTCCACCTTCACCTTTGTTTTCCTTTTTCTTCTCTAGCCTCCATTTATGAGAGAAAACATAGAGCCTTTAAACTTCTGAGTTTGATTTATTTTGCTTAACATGACAGTCTCTAGTTCCATCCATTTTTCTACAAATGTCATCATTTCATTTTTCTTTATGGCTGAATAAAACTCCATTGTGTATATGTACCACATTTTATTTGTTCATTCATCCATTGGCAGACACATAGGCTGATTCCATAATTGGGCTGTTTTGAATGTGTTGAAGTAAACATGAGTAAGCGTGTCTCACTGTAGTAAGAATTCTTTAGGATAAATACCGAGAAGTGGTATAGCTAGGTCATATGGTGGTTCCATGCCTAGTCTTTTAAGAAGCCTCCATTCTGATTTCCATATTGATTGTACTAATTTATGTCCCATCAGCAATGTCAAAGTGTTCCTTTTTCTCTACATCCTGTCCAGTATTCATTATTATTTGTATTCTTGATGACTGCCATTTTGACTGGATTAAGATGAAATCCCACGGTAGTTTTGATTTGCATTTCCCTAATTGCTAATGATGGTGAACGAATATGTTGGCCCCAAATGCCTGTTTTTAAGGTGCCTGTCATGCTTTTGTGAACAGCAACAACCAATACCAGTCCTGCTACTAACTCCATTTATTGAGCTCCTACTGTGTAACAGCTACTTACATTTAAGTATCTACAAGATGCTTTGCTGCTGGTACTTCATAGCACAGTACTATTAACTCTTCAAAGTAGGCACAATATCTCCATTTTCTGAATATAAAATTCTGATTTTCTTTTGTGACATAGCTTTTTATTCTTTTTTCCTATTATAGAAACCATGCCAATTAGTGATAATTTATATCTTATGCTTTATTCCACAGTACAGAACACGATGATCAGCCATAAATCTAAGCAAATACTAAGTGAAGCTGTGACTTAAATCTTTAAGTTAAACAATTATTCAAAGCTATAATAGAGGAGATGACTGCTATGGCAGTTGTAGAAGGTGGCTAGTTTTAGTTGCTAGGAGAACTTCCTTTATAAGAAAGATAAAGTTCCTTCCCTTAATGAGCTGCCCTTCAAGTTGATACTCTCCTCAAGTAAAATAAATCAGTTTCTTTTGGTAATCTTAATTCCTATCTGGTAATGCAAATAGATAGCAAATACAAATGTTTTTCCATGTGATTTTGTTATCTCTTTCTACAGAAAGGAGCTGGGTATCACCTGGATCTCTTCTGGGTGGCCATTCTCATGGTGGTGTGCTCCTTCATGGCTCTTCCGTGGTATGTGGCTGCTACTGTCATCTCCATTGCTCACATTGACAGTTTGAAGATGGAGACAGAGACGTCTGCACCTGGAGAACAACCAAAGTTTCTAGGAGTGAGGTGTGTTAAATCAGAGGAGAGTGGCTCAACAAAAGACATTGTGCACACATCTATGGGTCAATCAAAAGGAAATGGGCAGATTTGGAGGAGACAGAACTGATGATGATTGATTTATTTATAATTTTATTTTTGTTCTAGCAAGGATTAACTTTTCATCAGAAAGGGAGTTTTCAATGATTTTTTAGTTAATTTCTTATGATATATAAATTTCTTTTGATTAATGAAAAAGCATAAAAACACAAACAAGTCATTCTTTTTATCAACATGCAGGTGATTTAGGTGCTGCAGTACTCACTGAATCTCAGTTGTGTGTAAAGGCCCCCAAATGCTTGTGTCTACTTATGATTTTTAAAATTCAATAAAGGAAAGGAATTTTTATTTTCCAACTCATTTTCTGTCCCCAAAAGCACTGAGAAACTTTGACTTCCAGCTGTTCAATTCAGGTAGCCATGAAGAGTGGTAGTAGAAGACCTTTATATTTTGCAGCAAACCATGCTCATAAGTGCCTGGGTGGATAGCTCACACCACAGAGCCATCATTTCCCACGCCTCAACAGTGGGTGATTCTTTCTTGGGGATGGAGTGGGGGAGGGGAGTGTTGGATGAGAATCATATTGGTTAAAAAGTACTTTTGTTGTTGTAGATTTAGAAATTAGACTGGTGTGATTTATTGCACTCATGAAATTTCCCTGAGCTGTTTGTTAATTAGAATGTGGGACAATGTAATATCTGTCTCCTATGAAAGAAGGTGTAATTACACAAGAGGACAAGTTGTTTAAAAAATAAGGGCTTCAAAGAGGCCAGTAATTGATGGACCAGGAGCAAGTGATTTTTCTTTCTTGATTCTAAAAGGAGCAAAAAGCTTTAGCAGAATCATTTCTTTCTTTGTGAATTCAAATCACATTTTGTAATAGTCTTAAGAGATTTCTTATAGATGTATTGAGCTCATATGATGTCCTTTAGGTAATTATATGATATCAACATCTTTGCTATTTGCTGAACATGAGTTTGGTCAATGTGTTGTCTTTTTTTGAAGATGCAAAGACAAGAGCATGTTTATGAAAACAAGAGGTAGATTGGTAATCTTTTGATTTGGTTTCAGGGAACAAAGAGTCACTGGAACCCTTGTGTTCATTCTGACTGGTCTGTCAGTCTTTATGGCTCCCATCTTGAAGGTAAATATGTAAAATACTTCTTCCTCCTTCTCAGAACACTGACAGATAATTGGGCTATGTGAAGAGTAAAATATTTGCAAGGTTCATATTAGTTTTATAAAACACTGAAGCAGAGATCAGGTAGCCCCCCTCCCCCCCAAAAAAAGCTTATCTTGATTTCCAGTTAACCAGTATTTTTCAGTTATTCAGTTGAACTATATAAAATGACCAATATTGAAACTTTCTAACCTATCAGAATGGCAGTTTCACACAATTCAACCTGACTGATCCATACACATACTCAATTTTTACTCTCTCTGTCTTCCTATCTATCCTTTCTTTCATAACCCCCATTTACTTGTACCTACATAACCCCCATTTACCTGTACTTATATAACTACCATTTACTTGTACCTAAAGCCTTTCCTTTCTCTCCATTAGACTTCTGGATATGATGCTGTGAGTGGTTCAGAATGGTCATTTTCAGTTTTTCTCCCATTCTTAATTATTGTTGTGTTTCTATTTTCTTCGAATCAGAAGGCCTAATTTAGGTTCTCCAAAGAAAATGAGGGTAAACTTACTGATTCATAATTAGAAAACTATGGAAATGAACTTTTGAAGAAGAAGAAAAGAAAAAGCTGTTATATCAAGTTAGGAGTCTACACATATTTTTGATTGAGGGGATGGATATCTGCCTACATAGATAAATTTAAACTGATATATGAAAGCCTACTTCAGAGCAGAAGTAGCAGAAGTAGGACCAAAGAAGAAGGTTAATAAATTCCTGCCTGTAAATCTTCCAATTTTCTTTTATGACACAGCTTTTTATTTTTTTCCTATTATAGAAACAATGCCAATTAATGATAATTTATATCTTATGCTTTATACCACAGTACAGAACATTATAATCAGCCATAGATCTAATAAGTATAGACAACAATATCTTTAGTAACAATATGTTTTGAATTTTTTTCCTGAAATTTAAAAATTTTTAGTAACTTTAAATTTTAAGGTTTTAAAAAAGTTCTCAATTGTACAAATAACTGGTAGAACATTCTTCTAAGGAATTCAAACAATATACAAGTATACAGATAGAGAAAATAAAAGACCTTCATTTCTCTCAGATTAGCAAATTTTATGTCAGTAACCAATCAGATGAATTTTAAGAAGGTAGAATTCTAATACCTAAATTTATAAGACTATCTTTGCCTTTGGGGAGTTTAGACTAATGCATATATTGGATACAAAATACGTCGTAAACTGTTAAATATTTAATTATTCGTCTTATGTCCTTGGTTTCCACAATGTCAGGTGTCTGATTGAATCAATTTCTGACTAGATGCCTGTTTCTCAGGTAACACATGGGGAGCTAAGATTAAAAATAAACTTAGAGAAATTATTTCTGGTTATGTACAGAGGACCTTAAAAGACTAAGGACTTAGCTTCTTTGTAAAGAGAGGGAAATCTGCTGTTACTTTTGCCGATGCAAAGCAAGGTACAATACAAAGTAGGCTTGAAGGTGTGGTCAGGTTCACAGCATTGAGTCCTCTGCCAGACAGAATGCATTCTGTTCCTGTGTCCCCCTGTAGACACCAGCAGACCTACTGGTGGAAATACCTAATGGCAGCTCTGCCTCCCAGGCAGTGAGACCTCATCTGGAGAGATCATCTTTAGAGAGTTCATTGTGGGTAATTAGGACCCTAGGTTGTGGGAGGCTCTCCTTTGAATACATTTCTCCAGGCTTATAGAAAGTGGGCTTATAAGACCCAGTGCTTGTGCCTTGTCACCAATGAAGGAAACAGACAGAAACATTTTCCATCAGTCTAGATTTACTCATCACCACCCAATCTCCCATTTTATCTTTTTATTTCTATATAATTTATATATGTATAAAATCCTAATTAGGAAAGCCAGATATTTTTAAAAGTCCTTTTTAAAAAATGTGTATTTTGTAAATTGGCTTTAATCCTGGAGGTCCTGTTTGTTGAGTAATCATGTGTGATTCTAAAGGGACCTGGAGAATAGATACTATGTAAATTGTTATTTTAAGGAAAATTTGCAGAACTCACAATGCCTCTTCCTATTTTCTAACCCTGCACCCAGATATGGCTGTAGAGGAGTTAAAGCTGCTTTACAATGTGCTTTACAATGATTCCTTTTGCCCCTGATATGCAAAGCCCCTTAGTATCTATAAGATGAGATTAGAATGCAGAGAAAGAAGAGAGAAATGCAGGGACCAGGGAACATGAGCTTGCTTTTCCTTTGGCCTTGCTTAAATAGTCCATGCATTGGTCACCCTCATCCTGCCACTAGTATCCATGGTTGTGTTATTTTCATCTGGTGACTTTGGGTTAATTCAAAAGATCATTGTAAGAATCAGTGAAAACAGGAGTTCAGTAAGCATTTTTGTCGTGTAGGGTTTTGTCAAAAATGTGGTAAGTGAAACCATTTTGTCAACATAGCTTATAACATATTTATAATGTAGTTTACAACAAATATAGGAAAACCTTCAAAAACCACAAGGACAAAATAGTCAAGCATTGGCAACTGAGATTTCTTACTTGAGCAAGTCAGGCTGTTCTCTACTTCAGGATTCATATCTCTGGAAAAACTCAACTAATTTCAGATCACATGCTCTTCTTAGCACTGAAGCTTGGGGAGGTATGTGGGTATGTGCACTTATCAGAGGTCTCTTGTTAGGTCATTTAAAAAGTCAATACAGGAAGAAGCAGTTGTTGAGGGTACAGTTTAACCAAAACCTAAGTTAGAACTCAGGAAAAGTCTTGATTAATAATTAACCTCAGAATTCACACAAAAAGTGGTGTTAGGGGTTACCTCTGAGTAGGGTACCTTTTTCCTTCCTCCATGTGACTGTGTTTCTTAAAGAAGCAGGTGACAGCTTCAGAGAATAGTTTTACTTAATAGTCTGTCTTTGAAAGGTAGATCAAATGAACGAGAACAAGAGAAATGTGTGACTTTCACTTTTCAAAAGGAAGTGGCTGAACCCCTTCCCTGCCCAACTCCTTATTTCCCTCACAAGTTTAATGGTCTCTGATGAGCTTAGCAATTTTCTCTCATGCATTAAGCAGTATAGGTGGTTGCCCTCCCCATCCCCCACCTGCTTATGCAAGCTTACTTTGAACATGAAGTTTATGACCTCTGTTTTGATCTGTGTGCCGAAATCTGCCTTTTATGTGGAAGAATGTAAGGAATTATAGTGCACCAGCTTTAAGTTCATGAAGAAACCCCCTTGACCATTGCCAGCTATAGTCATTCATGCCTCAAAGTGCTGAATCTCACCATGGATTCAGTGCAGAACTGCTGGGAAGCAAGAATAACTGGCTTCCCAGGCTGGTTAAATGATTTCCGTTGTGTGTCTGCAATGGAAATATTGCCTTTTAACTGCTAGTATTCTGTATGGGGAAGTGAAGGGAGACTAAAGGCAGCGAAAAGATGAAAGGCAGTTCCTTGAGCTTACTTTTCCCATTTTTTTTTGGCAAGCTTCAAGAAATAAAGATCAAATGAAGTTCACTGCTACTTCGGTTGCTTTTGCTTGAATTAGTTTATCTTTAACATGAGGAGTGGCCAAAATTTATCTTTAAGATTTGTTTAGTGTTCTGAAGTGTGGAAGATAGCATTTAGTTTGTACTTGGCAGATATTTGTCCAGACCCTATAATATGTCATACTGTGCTCTGTACCAGGGCAACAGAGATGATGATGGTGATGGTGATGATGATGAAGACCACAGTAGTTACTGTTTATTGAGTTTATCATTGAATTAAGGGCTCAGCATAGATTTTTAAAATTTAGTCCTCCAGTAACACCAAAAAAAAAGATACTACTAATTATTGTGCAGATTGGAAAATTTATGAATAAACTACCGGGTCACAAAGTTTTTAATGATAGAATCAAGATTTGAACTTAGGCAGTTCTGAACACCAAAGCCCAATCTCATAACCCTCATGATTTGTCACTTTTTAAAATAAATCATGGTACTTGTCCTCACAGAACTCGTTCACTATCATTTCCCATGAGATGATCTTCCCTAGCTTCTTTGATCCAATTTCTAATACTATGTGGAGAAAAAACACAGCATTTCCACAAACTCCTCGTCAGGCCTCATTCCAGCTTCTTCAATTATTAGGGACCAGGGTGCAGGTCAGCACCTTCTTTAGCAACTTATTTTTTTAAGGCTTAAGGGATTGATAATATTATTTTAATAACATATTTTTAAGATGGTTGTTAGAACTCAAAGGGTAATGTAGTAAAGTTTAAATAAAGCAGGGCTTCAGGTGTGACCTTTCAGCCATCCTTCTGGCCCATTACTTAGCTCCCAGTCACCCCTATCTCTCAGATTCCAGTGAGAGCTGTGCTTAGCAATTTCAGGCTCATTGACTTTGTCAGTCAAGATCATGTTAACGATGACATCAGTACCACATTTATTGAGTATCTACTATGAACCATGCCCTGGAATAGATCTTTTCTGCTATGTAATCTCTATCATAGCCACTTTCTAGATGAGGATACTGAGGATAAGAGAAGTTAATAATTTTTTCTGAGTTACACAGACAGTAGCTAGAAATCAAACCCAGGTCAGTCTGACTTCTATACCTATGTTCTTTATCAGAGTCTCACTCTGGGTTCTACACACACACAGACCCTTACATTGCTCTTACTCCTGTCATGAATTCTGGGTTAGAAAACTACAGTCTCCCCTTATTAGCCAACTTACTCTTTTCACATTTTTCTTTCTGAGAATGTTCTAACACTATCAATAAATCAAAGGTATAGAACTACATTTACCAGAAATTGAAAATTTGACATGACATGATTTGAATATATTAAATCTTTGACTTCATCTCCAGTTTACTAATCTATCTGGTTATAGGATCAATAACTTAATTTTTCATTCTTCATGTTTATTAAATATAATACTATTTTATAATTATTCCCATTGCCTTTCTGAGTGTGATTAATTATATCATTTTCTTTGCATAATTTTGTCACTTGGAAATTCTTGATTTGCCTATAATCCTATTGTACCTTGTGTTTTTATATTTTGTGTCCTCCTGTCTATCTTTGTAAAAATGTATACCTATTACTATGCATGTCATCCTGGTTTAACTTAAGAGGTGGGGTTACACCACTTGCTCCCTGTTTCTACCTCATAGTCCTTGCAAACATCTGGGTTGCATAGTCTACTGCTTTTAAAGCCAATGGAAAAGCAAACTCTTTCCTGCCACCATTAATTAAAGAAATTATTAAGATCATATATGCTCATTAAAAACACACACATACATTAAAAACTTATTCTTCTTTTCCTTCCTTTTGTGATGAAGGATTCTAGTATGATTAATTTTTCAAGAATGACCTTCTTATGTGAACTCATGAACCAAATTCAATAAAAAATATCTTCTAACACAATAATTCTGTCAAGTTCCATCAAGAGTTCTATACTGCCACATTTTTATTAAGATATTGTAAAAATATGACAAATTTCATAAGACATTTGTATTATATTGAAGTTGACCAAAAATCTACTTCATAGCTTTCCTTCCCAACAAAAGTGTATTTCAAAACAATATTTATTTCTAAACCTATATTCCTGCCCACATCCATGTCATTATGTGTTAATGATACCTTCTGATTTTATTTTGTGATAAATTTGATCATATCTATAATTATAAATTATAATTATGATTACAAATTCAGAGGGAACAGACATAAAATCCAAGACACAATTTTCCTTCCTTTTGATGTTGAACCACAGTAGAGAAAATATTTAGCTAAGTTCAGGTAAGGAGTGAAGTTTAGGCCAGGAATGGACTCTTGGAGATACTTTTTACTCATGCTAGAAAAGTGATTTACCAGGATTAAAAAGTAACTACCCTAAGAATTCTAACTAGTTTTTCATGAATGAACTATTTTTCCCTTTTCCCCTTTTGTTTTTCTTCCCTTCCTCTCAAAATTAAAAGTGAAATAATAGAGAAATCATCATATTCTAAGGAAAATGGAAGATTCTTTAAAAATGAGTTAAAGCAATAAAGTGGTCTCTGTTATTTATTTATTTATTTTTGGTAAATGTATGCAGAATTGTAAGGGATGGAAACACTCCCATTCTAAAAGAATAGAGGCTTGTGTGCCAGCTTGGGTGACTTGAATGTGCTATGTCCACCTCTCTGTGGTGACTGCTGGGTATGACAGCAGCCTGGCTTCCCCTCATCAGCACGTCTTTCCCACCCCCTTCAGCATTTCAGGTCATTGTTTTTGTTTTCTTTTCTGAGCTCAAGATCAAGATTAGTTATGTTAAAATTGTCAATCCTTTTAAAAAGAAGCATTTGCTATTTTATAGAAATAAATATTTATTCCATAGAAATTAAACCATTCTACAACTAACCAGTAACAAAGATTGTCATGACCTGTTTTAGTATTCACTAGTTCTCTAATGGTGGCTTAAGGATCTCTTGAGACAGAACTTCATTAGACAGTCACAAGAAAGGATGCTAGGGCTAGAGTGGGGAGGGACTCATTAGTAAAGTGCTTGCCTAGAATGTGAAAGGTTGTGAGATCAATCCCCAGCACTGGAGAGAAAGAAAGAGCAATGTTTGCATGTCCCTGGATTCAGTTCCCAGCTACTGGAAAGAGGCTGCTAGAAATTATGAAATTATGCTTCACTTAATACATGCAGTAGTTCTTCAAAAATTACTCTACAGCCATTCCATGTTTTCTGATTACAGTCGCTTCCTTTGTATGCATTTGGTAAGACTGGCCTTAATTGACTTGCGGTTTTAATATTTTAGCTTTGAAAAATCCTGAAATTGCTTGAACTTCTTTTCAGAATCTCATGTTGACAACCTTTTGTTGTCCTGAGAAAAGCCTTCCCAGAATCAGAATCATGCTTGATGTGTTCACATTTCGCAGGTCTAGGAAGAGGTGAAATGTACAGATTTCACATTAGAATTTCTCATTATTAAAACACTTTGTATTAATGTAAAAGATTTTTTGCTGAACAATGCATGAAGATGTATTAATTGAATTCTAAAAGATGGGTATTAATCCATGCGTGTAATTAATTGCTTCCAGATGTTCCACACTCCTTTTAAGCCATGTTCTCATTAGTTCATCCTCTTAATATTCCTGAGAAGAAAGGGACAGTTGTTTGATGTTTATTTTATTGAAAGAGGCATTTACCCACCAAGTTGATACCATTTAGCAAAAATTGTACAGGAAAAAAATCAGCAGAGTGTGATGTTATGGAAGGATCTTGGTCTCCAGAGTGAGGCCACTTGCTCCCTGTTTCTACCTCATAGTCCTTGCAAGCATCTGGGTTGCATAGTCTACTGCTTTTAAAGACAAAGGAAAACCAAACTCTTTCCCGCCACCATTAATTAAAGAAATTATTATTAAGGTCACATATGCTCATTAAAAACACATACACATTAAATGAAAGTTGAAAGTCCCCTTCATCATCCTTCATTTATTTCTAGTACAAAGAGTGTAGAAGTTTATCCACAGAGAAGAAAGAACACTTATTAGAAGTCACTATGTTACAATATCCTGTCTTTGAGCCTTTTTATTTAAATTATTCCTTCTAGTGTTTATGTTATTGTTGTTTTTAACCTTTATCCATTTTTTCCTTCTCAGTTTATTCCTATGCCAGTACTGTACGGTGTATTCCTGTACATGGGGGTGGCCTCACTTAATGGTGTGCAGGTAAGTGTTGTGTTGCAATTGGAGTTAAGTAGTGCAATTCTTGTAGTAATAATGGGCTAGTATTGGATCTTCAAAAACAAGCATTAATCATGAATAGTTGAGTTTTAAAAATTATTTAAATAAATTATATTTATTTTCTACTTTATCCACCTTTCACCTGCTTTTTGTTTCTGACTTAGTCAACAAAGTTAGCTGGTGTTAACAAACATCATCATAAATACCCATTTTTGAAGCAGGCTACTAAAAGTTATTTGACTAGGGAGTGAGATATAGTCTTTCTTTTCCTTTCTTTTTTCTCTCTTCCCTTTTCTTCCTTCCCCCTTCCTTTTAAGGGCATCTAACTTTTTCAGGGTGTTCTTCAGTGGAAGTGATCTACTTGTAGACTCTACCAAGAATAAGCTATTCTTTATTCATCTGCATTTCACATGGCTGAACTCGGTGATCAGAAGTTTTGCACTAATAAATGATTAAAGTCAATGTGGTTTATGTACTGCTGTTGTCACAACTTTGGTAAAACCAAACCCTCTTTTGTTATATTGTTTCTCCTCCTCCTCCTCCTCCTCCTCCTCCTCCTCCTCCTCCTCCTTTTTTTTTTTTTTTTTTTTTTTTGCAGTGCTTGGAGTTGAACCCAGATCCTTGGGTATGCTTGGCAAACACTCTACCATGAGCTACCTCTCCAGCCCCAATCTCCTTAAAAAAAAAAAAAAAATCATTAGGAAAAAATTTATTAGGGACTTTGTTTTTCAATTGAGGTTTAATTTAATTGGCACCAGGAAACTGGAAGTTCTGCTACTGCTTTCTGGCACCTTGTTAATTGCAGCCTTATTTAGCAGTCAGTAATGTTTTAATGGGAAAAGACTGCATGTTCTGTGAACATCATAAGAATTTATTTGAACTTCAAAATAGTCCTTGCTTTCATTTATTGAATTTAGATTAACTTGGTTTTAAAGTCAGATAGAGCTGGGCAAGTGGCCAGGCCCCCCTCAAAGAGAAAAGGCTACTTTACTTTTCCCTGTTTAGAACCATTGAGTGAGAGTTTCTTTACCGCTGGGATATTTGTTACAGAATACAAAGTGGGTCTCATAGACTGTGCAAGTTGAATGTAAATGTGAGATTATTTGAGCTCATGCAACTTTTAGACTATAAATTTGTAAAAATATTGTATTTTTAATGTGTCATTGTAAGTATTCTTTATTTCCCTAAATAGAAAAATATGAACCCACTATGACCTTGAGCTGATGGTTCTTATTTTTGTTTGCCCTTAATGACATGATCTAGGACTGCAATTAGATTCTGTGTGTTCTAGAAGCTTTACTGATGGTTGGAGCTCAGTACATGTTAATTAAAGAATCAACCACATCATGATGATGGAAGAAACAGGCTAAAGGGACAGCTAGTGCTAAATTCTGCAGTGCTGTTGCCTCTAATGCCCTTTCACCTTTCCTTACTTTCTCTTGATTCTGTCTCTTTTAGACCCTTTTGGCAAGGTGGATTTAGCAAAAAAGTTTTGTAACCCAATCTTCATAAATGAGAGGGGCTCTATCAGTCGAAAATAGCTTTAAAGGAAGAAGGAAAACCCTTTCGATAGGGAAATCACTGCAGAGAAGATTATCTGTGATAGTGTGGTTTACTTTTGCACTTCTTTTTCTCCAGAAAAAAAAAAGATATTATTTCTGAGTTTATGCAACATAATTTCAGTTCAGCAATGATTTAATCAGCCTTTTCCATTGCAATACCCTGTGATGGCTTCGTAAATACCATCCTGTTCACCATCGCTGTCAATGTCAACTCAGCAGTTCCTTTTTGAAGTGCAGCAGCTGGCACATAGATGCTCAATCATTTTAATATCTGTGTGCTAACTTCCCTTAGATTCAAGTATCTAGTTGTCTCTGTCTTGAAACCTACTGTAATGTTTGTGTGGCTTTTCTCTTGAAAGAAATGGTAATGCATTGCTGGATATACTAGTCAAGCTATACCATAGATAAGTAATGTTGAATTTATGGAAATATTAATACATTCCCATTTTTAAGTTGTATACTTTCTTTATATCTTTAAAATATCCTTGAAATATATATATGCGATGCATAGTATTATCCCTTTTTCTTTCAGGAAGGACAAGTGAAGCAGAGTAAGATGTATGAGTCAGATATCTTCCTTTAGTATATCATTATTTAAATGGACACAAAACCCTCTCTCCTGAGACTTAGTAGAAAATAGAAAACTTGGAGATGAGCATCTAGAATTTATGATTTTCTCTGTGACTTTATTCTTTGGTGGCACTTTATCTCATGTATCTGCATAACATTCCTCCAAATAATAACAAAATTGAGAAGACTCATACTAGGGTTTGACTATGCTAGACTAAATTTCTGCAATCCCTAACAAGTACCTTGTCCTTCCAAAAGGACATTGCAAAGGATGTTGTTTGCCTAAATATAAATCACTACTGGTTACTTAAGCATAGCAGAAATGACTGTATGAATCGCCCCTTGAAGTAATGCAGTTGGACTCTCTTGCCCTTTCCTCTCCAGTTCATGGATCGTCTGAAGCTGCTTCTGATGCCCTTGAAGCATCAACCTGACTTTATCTACCTGCGTCACGTACCCCTGCGCCGTGTCCACCTATTCACTTTCCTGCAGGTGTTATGTCTGGCCCTGCTCTGGATCCTCAAGTCAACGGTGGCTGCTATCATTTTTCCAGTTATGGTAGGCAATCCTTTGATTGAATCTTCCCATGAGGTTATGCTGATATCACGTGGTTATTGTGATATGAAACACACATATGTTTCTAATGTGTGGTTCTCAAAGTTTCTAGCTTTGACCTCATAACTCTGATCAGTGTAATTTAAGTTGCCTATGTCTATGACTGTCTAGGATGAATTGGGCTCCCCTGAATTCAAATACTATTTCAGATTAACCCTGGTCAGTGAACCTCTGTGAGCTGCCATTAACTCATCAGTGAAACAAGGGTGGCATTATTGTTCTTTGCACCAATAATGAATATCAAATATATAGCACAAAGCTTGAGTCATAGTAGACACCAGTGCACATTAGTTATTTTCAAAATATTCTCTAATAGACCCAATCTAAATAAGAGTAAAGGACTTTTAAGTCTCAATAGTAGAAATATTTGGGGACTTGTAAGAAATCCTATAGTGCATTAGAAGAAAGGAAGTGAGAAGTTTAGTGTTTGAAGTATTTGTGGTTTGCATCATGCCAAGTTTAAGGGTAGATTACCTATCCTTGGCATGATATGATGAGAATCAAGGTAAAGCAACTAACATTCCACTCTGAATCAGAAATTTAAAAAGGGAAAGAAGGAATGAAGGCTGTTTTTGGCCTCGTTACTGAATTTATAGCTTCTCCTAGCTCTCTATTTCTTCCAAAAAAAGAAAAGTGCACATACATAACACAAAACAGATTTCAAGGCCACCTCAGTTCTGTCTCCCCCATAATTTTGGAAACAATTTTCATACATTTATCACATTTTGTATTATTTTTTGTAAAACTCCTCTTACTTTTAGCCAAGATCATTATTTTATTTTATATATTTTCTCCAAGGGACACAGCAAAAAATGGTAAGAAATATTAATGGCATATTAAGTCATATTTTTTTCTTAATGGTTCCTTACGTGATTTTTTCCTTAAACTACATTAACTTATTGTAAAACACATTAAGCATGAGAATTGACTCCCACTTACCTATTAGTATTATCTACTTACCTATTAGGTTTTCTTAAGTCAGGATAAATCGAAGTTAAGCCACAATAAATTTAAAATATATCCTATAAACTACAGCTTGTGCTGAATAACAATGAGAAAGTGCTTTACCTTTATAAAGTGTCTTTGTTTTTTCAGAGCTTTTATTTGGTCGTGAAGCAATCCTGTAGTACAGTAGGGCAGATGTGGTAACTTCTCCAGAAAATGAAGAAACCGACATATAGAAAGCATGATGTAGATAGAGACAGCTGTTTAATTTAAGGCCAAGCCAGGACTCCTATAACTTGCTGCATACTAATGTGCTGTTGAGCAAACATATCTTTAGTGTGCCTTCAAAAGTAAAGGAAGGGAAAAGGGATTGGTCTTCAAGAGCAAATCATAGACTGAAGACACAAACATCAAGAATACTTGATAGCAGCAGGCAGCTGGGACCCTTTCTTTTTCCTTTATATGGTTTTGTGGCTTCAGATAACATACTTAATGACTCTGAGCTTCTGTTTCATCAGCAGTCACATGGAGATAATAATATCTACTTTCCAAGTTTGTTATACAGAATAAATGAGATAATATTGCCTAAGAGTTTGGCACAGTTTTCAGGCATATAGTAAATATTTAGTTGATGTTGGTGATTGAAGTAGTCCAGTAAGTATATGGTCTAAGCATCCCCAAATACTACCTTATCAGAGATGTCTTAGAGTACTATATGTAATGCTCATTTTCTTGATTTTCATAAACCCATATGATTTTTAAAGTGTTGCATAATTAGAAATCATCTACAGGCTTATTTTTCTTTTAAACTTTTAGTTATTTTATTAAAAAATCTAACATGGAAAGAAATGGTTTTGAAAAACTCTCCTTTCACATAAAAATTCTAATTGAATGTGATCATACATGCAGGGAATAACATGAGTTTCAACTGAGACTTTCATAAAACAACAGTATACAAAGTAGGTCTCTGCCATGCTGCAGTGTCAGTCCTCATTGTGACAATGTCTGACGTGGTTTCTTTTATGCTCTTTGTATTTGCTGTTCCAGATCCTGGCACTCGTAGCTGTCAGAAAAGGTATGGACTACCTCTTCTCCCAGCATGACCTCAGCTTCCTTGATGATGTCATTCCAGAAAAGGACAAGAAAAAGAAGGAGGATGAGAAGAAAAAGAAAAAGAAGAAGGGAAGTTTGGATAGCGACAATGATGATGTAAGGGGCTTTCCAAAATTCCAAAGCTGGTTAAAAAAGCAAATGTGAAAAAAATGTACACTTTTATGCCTGATATGAAAGGGAGAGCTGAGTTGTAAGGATGTTTATCTAGCTGTGTGACCTATCACTGATTTTACTTTCATTTACCCTTTATTTGCTCACTTTGGTTTTGTATATTTTGTATAGAATTTCTGTAACTATAATACATTAATAATGATATAATGCCTTCCTAAAAAACTCAAATATTTAAAGAACTCCAATCTAATAGATAACAGGGAAGTTGCTTAGTAATGCTGTGAAATATATTTGGTTTGTTATTGATAATCCAGGATATATACATGAGATAATATCACAATTGCATCATTTTAAGTCTAATGTGGACAGATACTGTAATTTCTGCCTTCCATAATCTATATATCTATTTGAGTAGCTCTCAACCCCAGTCTTATGCTGTTGTATTATACCAGCAGTGTATTTATGCTAAACTGATTTGGCATTACATCTGTCAAAAAAAAAAAAAAAAAGGAAAGAGAATTGGAGTTTGAGGTCTTTTTTTTTTTTAACCTAATTATAGTGGTCAATGTCATAATCCAGTGGTCCTCCTGTAATTAGATGATTAAGTAAAGAAATGAAATTATTGACCATTTATTTTTCTTTAGCAGACTATTTCACAGAAGTACTGATGCCCTGCTAGAGATCTGTAATCAATGCCAAGAGAAAAGCTTGGATTTGTTTTAATGCACACACACGCACATGTGAGCTCACACAGCTTATCCTAGTAGCCTTTTGAAAGGATTGCTAAAATATATTTTCCATGTGATGGGGCTGGGGTGATGGCTCAGTGGTAGAGCACTTGCCTTGTGTGTGTGAGGCACTGGGTTTGATTCTCAGCACTGCATATAAGTAAACAAAAAGAAAGGCCCATTGACAACTAAAAAAAACGTTTATATATATATAAATAAATATATATATAAACATACACATATACACTTTCCATGTGAAAAATCTGTTCTGGATTTTTACACCAAGTAGTATTACAAATGTTTTTTGTGTGTCATTATACATTCTAAAGTGCAAATGTAGTTCATTTTTAGCTTCTTTGATCATGCATGCTTAATCCTAAATTGACATAACATTTTGTTAAAGTGTATATTTTTGTTCCCATTTTGCAGATAAGAAAATTTAGACTGAGAAAATACTTCTAAAAAAGTCATTCTAAAATTTCAAATGTTAAGTTTTTTCAGCTTTTTTGAGGCACGACTGACAAAATTGTATACATATAAAGAGTACAACATGGTGCTTTGACATAGATATTTGAATCTTTTTTTTTTTTTTCAAATGAGCAGCCATAAGTGGCAAATCTAAAATTTAATCTGTGCCTCTCGGCTTATTCTAGTTGATCAATCTGTCTGATTGTATTCTTTTTGTAGAACTTGGAAATAGTACAGTGAAGGAAAGCAACAGACAGAATTGGATTTCAGATAAATTGATCCAATAAGAAAAGGCTAAACATACAAGGCCCATTTAGCTAAAGAGAAAAAGAGTCTGAGGGAGCTTTTGTGACTGTCATCATCTATATTAAATGAGAGCAGTTATATAGATTTTCTGTTTCCAATGATAGCAGAAAAAGAGAATGTGTTTAAATTACAACAAAGATTAACATGCAGTATGAAGAAAAATGATATGCTTACACATTGACAAGAATTCAGAACTTGAAATGAATTTCTGGACCATTCAAGATGAAAAAAAAAGAAGAAAGGTTGTCTGAAATATTACAATGATTAAAGCAGTATTTTATCTTGAATTTTTAGAATAGGTACCTCAGTTTATGTCCATGGATACCAAACTTAATATTCATTATACATTATAAATGTATGAACTAATATTATGTAATCCTCTTCTCTGATGTTTTTTGAGGGGGAAAATGAAATATCAACTTTGGGGAATGTTTTAGATTTACTGCTCTAAATGGGCTCCTATGGTGCTCTTACAATTCTTAGATATGGTTTTCAACAAATCACAATAATGCTATTGTTGTATTAATATTTATCACTTTTAAGCTCCGTATTTTCAACAGATATCTTAATAATGGTGTTTGATATTTATCTCTTTTCCTCTTCTTCTTCTCTGCCCCACCCCTATCAAAGCAAATGAACAAATATATATATTTGTTTCTAGACAGTGAGCCCAACCAGGCAATTTAGAGTACATTTGTGTAATAAATTCTCCATGTTGAGCCCATTTTTTGAGGGCTATGGATTTGGAGGGTGAGTCTCCTCATGTTCACCTCACCATCATGTGGTGTAGGATCCATGGATACAGGGAACCACATTGGACACGAGAGAGTTACAGTACTACTGCTAATGAATTGTAGTGGCTTGTCAAAGCTTTGAACCACTTATAGTCATTTCTTAATCTGCCTGATAGACTGTGTTGCTTGCCAACCTGTCCCTCTATAAGTCCCATTATTTTGGGAAGTGCCTGAAATAAGACTTACCATTCTTGACATTGTCATAGGTGAAGATGTGTATGCCATCTTAATTATTTTTTTTGTTTTTTTGTTAACTTAAGGATATTGTCTTAGCTCTCTGAAAGAATATTATGGGTCATTACCCTTTGTAAATTCATCATAAAGTAATTTTCATAATAGGCAGTAGGCTTTTTGTTAAAATTTCTTTGTATTTTGACTCTGAGTTCTCATTTATTAAAATTTCAACTAAAGATGGTCTCCTTGGTGCTTAGACTTAAGAGATGAATTGGATATTTCACTCCAACCATAGACTTGAATTCAATATGGTGAATTTTTTAAAGTGGTAATCCTATAGTAATCTGTGATAGTTTGGACCAGGTGGCCTGTTCTTTCAGCATCCACATGGCTAGCTATTTGATTATGATAATTATTCTGGTTATGATTCTTTGTGTGTCTAACCATGATAGATACTTCCTTTTGTTTTATTTTGTCATGTTATGCTTATGTTTTCAAATATCTTTGGTGCATGCCACTTAAAATGAAGCTTTCATTGTAAAATAGTATCTGATGGAGTATTAAAGTAAAGAAAGTAGGTTTATAGCTGAGTCTATGTAGTAGGCTTCTTGATAGTAGATGTTCAACAAGTCTTACTTGATGTGGAAGGAAATGTAGGACATGATTTTCCTGGATACAGAGAAACATAAAGATGCAAGAATTTTGAAAACATATTATAGTTCAAGAAATTTCCTAGATTTAATCTGTTTTCACAGTGGCATTTGCTCTACACACATAACAACCCAAGTTTGATGATTGGGAATCTAGCTATGGAAAGCTTTACAACTAAGTTCTAGTAATCTCTATTTGGTCTGTTTTAGTTTAGTGGATTCAATCCCATTAACTCCAGAAGAGAGGAAAACAGATATGGATTAGAAAGATGATGTTGAATTTGAAAAGTTAGCAGACTGGAAATAATTATATCTAAAACCTTTTTTCTTAGTACAATGAAATGATAATATGATAGGTTTGATCAATACTGGGAGATAGGAAGGGCTGAGTAATAAAAACATTCTAAAAACAGTTATACATTCTTTTCACAGTCTGACTGCCCATACTCAGAAAAGGTTCCCAGTATTAAAATCCCAATGGACATCATGGAACAGCAGCCTTTCCTAAGTGATAGCAAACCTTCCGACAGTGAGTAGAACTAACCTCTTGCATGCTTGCTTGAGTATGATTTACACCTGCAGAGAAAATATTTTAGAGATGTCATCTACATTCACTTCCCCTCTGTCTTTCTTTTTTATATGAATATTTATACTTAATTCTTATAAAACATTACTTTTACATTCCCTAAATTTGACTCTTAACTTCTTCCTTTTATCCATAATCTTTAAGTTTTCATTTGGTAATCTTCTCTCTTCCCCAAGGCATCATCATTTTTTTTTCCAGTTGCTAAACATATAACCATGTTTTTAATTGATTTTTATTTTTATTTCCCACTGATATTTAGAGTTGCAGCTTATAGTACTACATCACTGTCTGTTACTGTTTGTCTTCCTTAGGTTTCAACCAATGACCAAATCTTCTCAAAATAAATTACATCTTGGACCTCTCAATGATTAATGAATTAGTTGTTAATATTTAGAATTTGGCAAAATTGCTATTTTCAATTAAATTGGCAATCATAAAACATTAGCACAACTCTTTTTCTTCCTGATTTCCTGATTTCTTTATTCCTCTTCTGCTATTTCAAAATCATCTTTGTAACTGCTCTGATCTTCCAGTGGTGATAGCCTGGTGGCTACAGTGTGATGATTTGTGACATGTCATCTTTTCTTTTGTAATTGGGTTAACAGGCCACTCTATGAAGACATTAGTGAATATCTGAAGCTTTTGCAATAGCAAGTAGTAGTTGCCTCTGTATTGCTTTCCACTTTTAGTTCTCATTTGAAGAAAATGCATTCTTTTAGATCCAGATACACTTCAGAGTTTGTTGATCTGTTACAGGAAAAGAGACAGTTGAGACACTTTTAATAGTTAATAATGCAACTTCAACTTCAGTAGAAGGTTAGCAATACCAAAAAGAGTTTGAAATGAATGACAGTTCATAAAATTTGGGTGTATTAGTTACCAATTGCTGAGTAACAAATTACCATATAACTTAGCAGCTTAATACAAAAAACTTGTATTTTCTCACACAGTTTCTGACACCCAGAAATTTAGGAGCAGCCCATTTGGTAATTCTAGCTCAGGGGCTTTCAAGAGATTGCTTACCAAACTGTCTGCTGGGACTGAGTCTCTGGAGGCTTGATTGCAGCTAGGGATCTGCTTCCAAGCTCATTCCCAAGGCTTGTGACAGGAAGTTTCAGTTTTTCAACCTGTGGGCATTTCCATAGAGCTATATGTGATATGGCTTCCCCCAGAGCCACTGACAGAAGAAAAAAACCAAGATAGAAGCTGTAATCTTTTATAATCAAATCTCAGAAGTGACAAACCACCACTTCTGCCATTTTCTTTTGGTCATATAGACCAACTCTGTTGCAATGCAGAAGGAATTACACAAGTACATAAATACCAGGAGATGATAGGGATCATTGCAAACTATCTTGGAGGTTGGCCATCACCCTAGGTTTAAAGAACAAAGAATTAAAGCAGTCTTACTTTTGTTTTCCAACTTGTAACTATATTTTGTAACTAAGGCTAATTTTCTGCTCACTCTTATCAATGGGATTTGATTAAGAATTTTCTTTCTTATTTGAAGCTCCCCAAACCATGTTCTGAGTTCGTTTTTCATTTCTAGGAAATTAATGTCATAGGAAGACAAACATACATGTGTGTAGTGTGTTTGTCTTTGGTTGGCATCTTAATTGGCATAGCCCCTTCTAAATACTAAAAAAAGAAAGAAAAATCACCAGACAGAATTTCAAATTTTTGTTAAATTTTGTGTGCCAGTTGTTCTTCATCCTCTCAAAAACCCTACAAGAGTATAAACTGAAAGTTGATAGTGATATTGGAAGTTTACCTGAGCAAAATACACCATGAAAGAACAAAAGCTGAATTGCTTTCTAAGTACTTCAAGAATCCCTCCCCCAGCCCCACCGCATGCCAAGTAACAGCTAGAGAAAATAGTGAATGTTGAAGATGGAAGGAAATTCCAGGGCAAGCATCAGACATTCATAAGATGCTGTCACCTTACAGAAATGATTCCCCTCATGCTTTTCTTATCATAATGACAGCAGTGATCCTTCCCAGAAAGCCTATGCGGAGGAAAGGAAGAGATTGAGACTTAGTTTGGTATATTGTTTATTGGAATTCTCTAAATTTATCTCACTTCCTCTTTCCAGTTATGAAAAATGCATCAATTTTTATGAAGATTTTAATTTTCACTCCAATTTTTCACATTCACACAGTTCTATTACTTTTGATTTAAAATGTGTTTTTCTTTCCAGGAGAAAGATCCTCAACATTCCTCGAACGCCACACATCATGCTGATAAAATTCCTTTCCTTCAGTCACTCAGTATGCCAAGGTAAAGGAGAGTCCAGTGTTTTGCTGTGTTTGTGTGACGATTACCCCACAGACATGCAGTCAATGGCAGGTTATTGGCAGAACTCCCTGTTCTCTTTCCTCTCTCTGATTTATCTCACATAAATTACCCAAGAACCAAAACTTATCCCAGCTTTTACTAGTAGAAAGACCTCTAAGAGACCTGCTTACTCTTAGAAATAATGGAATCTTTCAGTATCATTAAGTTAAAGTCCAGGATCAATATTAGCTCTTATAATTTCAGGGTCCTGACTGATTTAAGGGTAACTGACATTTCCTGGCATCTCTCATCCAGTTGTTTCCTTCCCTCTAACAAGGCTCTGGAGATGACAGGTCCAACTGTGGATTCTCAAAAGATTGGAAGCTCTGAATATTTTCAGCATATTAGTCTTATTGCCCTTTAATTTCGGATATATTACCCTCTTGGTACTTCCTCATTTTGTCCTTTGGTATGTGGTTTTTTAAAATATAGATATCAAGATCTTGTAAAGTTTTATTTGGATTTCTTAACTCTATTGGCACATTGATCCCATTAACAAAAAAATATCTGTTTTTAATATGCAAGGAGGAGATGAGGATTAAAGAGAATGAAGGTTGACATGTTTGAATTCTGTATGATTAAAAAATATTTGACAGATGATAGAGAAAATCAGACTGACTTACTATTTCTTTTCTTTCTTTTTTCTTCTTTAGTCCTCCTAGAACTCCAGTAAAAGTTGTGCCTCAAATTAGAATAGAACTTGAGCCTGAAGACAATGATTATTTCTGGAGGAGCAAGGGAACAGAAACTACATTGTAATCCGTTCATCTCTCTTAGAACTGACAGTTTTGTTGTTAATGTTCCTTTTATTCCCCACCCACCTTTTATCTGTTTGTTTATTTTTAAATTTTTGTTTTATTTCAGTTTTTGGTCACTGGCCAAATAATACAACACTTCTCTCTGCTTCTCTCTTGCATAGGTTAAATCAAGACAATAGTGCACCATTCCCTAAAAACAGCATCTGGGGAATCTCCCTTTTGTTCTTATGTTTTAGATGTGTCCTCTGACATCCTAATTCCTGTCACTCAAGACATGCACAGATCCTGTCCTTTTCCTTTATTAAGCAGAGGTCAAAAGTATTAAGATTTTATAACAACTTTTATTAAAATATTGAAGGAACTTAAAACTTTAGCTTTGGAGCTGTGCTTACTGGCTTGTCTTTGTCTGGTAGAACAAACCCTGCCCTCCAGACAGAGTCCCTTCTTGCTTATAGAGCTCCCCAGGACTGGAAAAAGTGCTGCTATTCTAACTTGCTCTTGCTTATAAACCCTAATCTTAGAGTTATCAAAAGAAGACAAACTAAAGGTACTTTACTCCCTATAGAGAAACCATTGCCATCATTGTAGCAAGTGTTGGAATGTCCCTTTTTCCTATGCAACTTTTTTTAACCCTTTAATGAACTTATCTGTTGAGTACACTGAAGAATATTTTTCTTCCTAGATTTTGTTGTTTAAATTATGGGGCCTAACCTGCAACTTATTTTTTGTCAATTTTTTAAACTTTTTTTTAATTACTGTAAAGAAAATGAATTTTTCCTGCAGCAGGAAACATAGTTTTGAGTAGTTCTACCTCTTATTTGTAGCTGCCAGGCTTTCTGTAAAAATTGTATTGTATATAATGTGATTTTTACACACACACACACACACACACACACACACACAATCTCTAAGGTAAGCCAGAAGGCTAGATCAGATAAAAACACCATGTTTCTAAGCATCCATTTTCCCCTTTCTTTAAAAGAAATTTAACTGTTCAATGAAGGAGCTTGAGGAAAGGAGAGAAATTCTTACACAGTGGGGTAACTGATATCCTTCCTGATAATGGTAGCATATGGGCATGGATGCTGATTGTATTACCATGTCAATGTCCTATGCAGTATTGTTAGGCATTTTTAAATTCTGAAATATTTGTGTGTTTGTGTATGTGCTCTGTGTGTGGCTGGTGCATATACGTGCAAAGTTAGAAAAAGAAAGTGTGACAGTAGACAAAGGGCAATGTTATCAAATCTCTTGTGTCGGTTTTCATAAAATCCAAACCACCTATGAAAAATTCACCAGGGCGGTCCATGAAACTTGCCATTATGCAAATAGGGTAAGCATATGTTATTACCCAGACATTAGTCATATAGCAGCCCATGTTTATAATAAAAAATCCATAAGAATATTAACAGCCCATTTACATACCTATAAAGTATTATAGGAATACAGATAAGTCTATAGAGATAATTTGATGTATACATACTATAATAATGCACACATTCATTGGGGATGCAAAGAAATTATTCTTTGTGATTGGGACACTTAGAATGTGTACGTATATATGCACATCATACCTATTTGTGTTTCAAAGTACCATATTGAAAATCAGACCTTTATTAATCAAATTGAACATGGTGTTTACAGGTAGTATTTTCAATGTTACATTATATATTGAATGTATTTTGAAAAGGACATTTTACATGGTTGACTTCGTACTTTTGGATTCCTATAACCATGATTGTGACATATCCTCACCATACCAAGTTTTTGGAGGAGTACAAGAAGCAGAATGAAACCTCTTATTTGGGTTTCATAATATGCATTTATTGACCCCCACTCATTCCTATATTAATTAAATTTTAATCCTGCCATTTTGAAATTTTCATTATAAAAAATTTATTATCCTGAGTTAGATGTTACTTTTGTAGTATCTGGTCATCTTAAACCTTTTAATTTTATACAAATGGACATAAATTATCCTAATATTTTTCATTGAAATCACAGTGGCAAATCACATTTTATTGTGTTAGAACTTCAAAGGTTATATTTTGGCATTATGTTTGTATTTAGAGCTAACCCTAAAATGATGATTCTATATTTTTTAGTTTTCTGTTATCCTAAGTTAAAACTATGTAAGAAGCCTTACCCATAACGTGTTTAAAAGCTGCATAGTAAATTCAACCTAACCCTTATAATGGCAAATTAAAGGCACACCTGTTTATTTTTATAGAAGTTCTAGATGTAATGATATTTTTTTCTCATTGTGCATCAAAGCAACTTAACTCATCATTGTAGAGGGAAAAACTATCTATAGTCCCACTGAGGAGCCCACTTATTTTGTGACTGGTCAGAGGGTTGGTATTCATGATGTGAACACAAAACAGCATCTTACATCTAATGCAAGGACCAGTTTGTGTCAAAGGTTTTTATAGGTCATCAAGTTAAGAGGAACTGAGGTAGTTACCACACTAGTAAACAGAACCCGAGGTCCCTGTGAGCCCCCAGGTTTTCTGTATTCTAACTGAATTTACTCATTGCCTAAGAACTAACCAGATTTTTGGATGGTTTTTGTCTCTATGTAAACTGGACACACGTCCAACAGTAAATATTTTATGAAATACTTCTTTTCTCCCTCATGTGAATTTAGATTCATGTTTCTAGAAGTAATGACTAAACACATTCTAAGTTATGAACCAAGAGTCCTGTGAATTTAGAAACTGAGGGAAGAGATGATTAGACCAAGAGTCTGTCAATCAAAGGAGTGAATAGTTGCCTCTGGTTTACATTGAGAGAATATCTTGGAGACACTGTTTTCCTTGAGAAAAGTCATTCTCTCTACTATTGGTAACAACTGCTTGGAATCCTGTTTATTTTGTGTGCTGTGGGCAGCATTGTTCCTGCCCCTTCTCCCAGTCAAGATTGAGGGGTGGGTCTGTGGAGGGACTTAACTGATTTGAAAAAGCCAGAAGACAAACACCTCCCTCCTCAGTCCCAACCTGAAAGAATCGGGGGAAAAATTTGTCTGCTGTCCACAATTCAATTTGTGTGTATTTGAAGCACGTGCAGCAACACACACAGAGCAAATCTTTTATCCGCTATATATTGGTGTTTCGTACAGAGAATGATTGTCTTCCGAATTTTTGGTTCTTTTATTTTTAACTGTGTTGAAGTACTTGAAATGTATTGACTGCTGACTCTCTTTAAAAAACAAAACCATTTGAGTTGTATTACAGAGGTTGACATTGTTTAGGGATGGGACAAAGCTTTCTTCAATCCTTTTCATACCACTTAATGATTTTGGTGCAGGAACTTGAGATTTTCTTATTTATGTTCCATGATATTTCACATCTGCTCTCACAGGATAAGCATGAAGCCCAGTGGCACCAAGTGGCTAAATACAATTTTTAAAAATAGCAGCACTTCACTTTCTGAAGAGCTTCATGAATTTTCAGATTATGATTTCATTGAACTTCATTGTAGCCCCCCAAAACAAAAAACAAAAAAACAAACAAAAAGAAACCTTTTGTAACATATACTCATCAATCAAGTTGTGTTTTGACCAGAGGTTTGGATATATCTCATTTGCTGGCTCATATTGTTGTGCTCTATGGGTACATACAAAACTCCTGAATTTTGTTTTCCTAGGCAAATATTGCAACTCAGGGCTAAAGTTACCCAGTGAAACTTTTAGAGCCAGAAGTAACTTTGTCCCAGTCCTACAATGTGAAAAGAATGAGTAGTTGCCTCTTTTTAGCCGTTTTCATGGCTGGTACATATCTGTACACATTACTTTTCAGAATCAATACGCACTTTCAGATATTCTTATTTTTATTCTCTCAAGTCTTTATTAACTTTGGAGAAATGATGCATCTTTTTATTTTAAATGAAGTTGATCAACATGGTGGAACAAAATGATAAAGAACAGAAAACATTTCAATATATTACTAATAATTTTTTCCAATATAAAACCTAAAATTCCTATAACATTATAGTATTTTACAGTTTTATGAAGCTTTCTATTGTGACTTTTATGGAATTATGAGATGAAGAAGATGAGATATTTTAGCATTTATATTTTTCAAAATTAAATGTATACTTAAAATAAAGTAACTTTATGCATTTATGAGTGTCAAGTGCTTCTCTTTAACTCTTCAACTCTTCGACTAATTGTCCAATGACTATTATTTTGTTCTTTGCAGTGTTGCAGAGATGAGTATAAAGATGAGTAAATCAGAGCCCTCACCACCTCCCCCCCTCAGATTTCTTTAATCCATTCAGGCTGAAGGATAAAGTAAGTGTCCAAATTATATGAGATTGTTAAGAATTACCTATTTAAATGTTAATGAACTGCTCTCATGCAAGGGTTCAAAGTAAGAAAAAAATGTCAAACTAAGAATAATAGGAACTATTTGATGGAGTAGAAATATTTTCACTGTTTCTTTTATAAACTTAGTGAAATGTAAAATACCATCTTCTTGAGTCTAGGATGATGCATATAATCTAGGATGATGCATATACTCACTCTTCCAAGTAAACAAAACACTGCTAAGCTTAAGCACTTATTAGAAAATAATTACTCAAATGAACAAAATCTCAGGATGGCCCCTTTACTGGGCCTACCCAGGCTTCCATCTGATATTTATGATTCCCTAGGGAACTACACTGCAGCCAAGTTAAAATCAGAGTGGTGCTGGTGGTGGGTGGAGCAAATGGCAGACAGGATAAATGTCCATTGATGGTAGTAAAAGTTACATTGGAAAAAGTTACACTGGACAAAAAATGAGGAAGGGCCTTTGGCTTAAGCAACTTGGAAACCCAAAGTAGAGACAATAGCTTTGAGCCTTTGGGTACTACTACTAGTGGTGGTGAGAATGGGCAGCAGAGAATAGAATGTGGATTTCACCATGGAACTGGAAGAAGCAGCAGAAGAAGCCACACTAAAGATAGATCATAATAAGGAAATTTTTGATTATTTTTTAACCTACCCACAAAGAATTCATTATGTATTATCATGGGTAACAATTATTGAGTCAACAAATCAGGATCAACTTATATTTAGTAAATTATTGTCAACCCAAATAACAAAGAAATTCTTCAAAGAATGATACTTTTTTGGAGAATAATATAGCAATACAGAAGGAATATGTGTGCCATTGTAAACTATGAGTGTATTTAAAGAAGTTGATGTAAGAGGGAGTTTTAGAAAGGAAAAATGAAGAAGCTTATATAAGATATTTTGAAACAAGAATCCTTTGCCATAAGATTAGTAACGAGGTAACACCAGTCTGAAGTTGAACAGACAGTTTCTGGGCAGGTATCCTTGAAGAAGTATTTTCTGAGTAATGTTGTGGCAGCATTGTGCAAGGGTGTGGTTCTGACAAAATCATTTGTGAGTTACTATCAGGCAATTGTGGGGAGAACCTTCCTCCATATCATCCTGGCTTGCTTTATTTATTTATTTTGTTAAGATTGACACAAGCAACTTCACTTTGATTCTGACAGATTTCACATTAAGAAAAGGAATGTATTTTTCCATTTCTGTGACTCTTCATTATTCTACCTGGCCTTCCTGACCTCCCTGATAACCAAGGAAGTAAAATACAGAAACCTCGAAGCTACCAAACCATCTGGCTCAAGATCTAGGCAAGAGCTCAAAGCCTCACTCAGAATCCACTGACACTTATTTTTTTTTAAATGCTCATTTGTAGCTGGGCATGTTAGCACATGACTGTAATCCCAGTGGCTTGGGAGACTGAGGCAGGAGGATCACAAGTTCAAAGCCAGCAAGCAACTTACTGAGACCCCGTCTCAAAATAAAATATAAAAAGGGCTGGGGATTTGGCTCAGTGATAAAGCACCCCTGGGTTCAATCTGTGGTACCAAAAGAAAAAGCTCATTTGTGGATTTCTAAGAACATAGGAAATGAGAAACAGAATAAAATATTGATATAGGAAAATTCAGCTAACAAGAATTAATAGCTTAGTCCAGGCAGAAAGAGAAAATATATTAAACACACACACACACACACAAGAACCTGTGGGGGCTGGGGTTTTGATTCAGTGGTAGAGCGCTCGCCTAGCAGTGTGAGGCGCTGGGTTGGATCCTCGGTACCACGTAAAAATAAATAAATAAAATAAAGGTATTGTGTCCAACTTAAAAAAATACTTAAAAACACTGTATAAAATATACTCAAAAACTTTAAAAATAGGTTATTTAGTACAGAGGCAAGGATGCTACAGTAGGTCTTAAAAGTAAAATGTATTGATTTCATATTGATTGAAATCTATTGATGAAAGTTGATTAAATGTCTTAAAGGTAAAAACATATTGCAAATAGTGTTGAGAATGAAGATTTCTAGCCAGGAAAAATTAAGTTATGGTTTATTTTCGTTCATTCATTAATTTTTGGAAACGAAATGGAGTCGTTGCTGGAGAACCAAAAGTAAGACATGATTCCTAATTTCTAGTAGTGTACCATCAAATGAGAAATACAAGTAGACCAAATAGTGCAATAAAAATTTGTAAATATTACGATAAAAGTATGTGTTAGGTACAGTGATGATCCAAATGGGGAAGTTAACAATTCCTTGTGGGAATAAGAGGCCAAATTGCAGAGAATTTTCTAAAGCAATCTGTGATTTTGTGTGAGAAAATGTTGGCCAGACGAATGGTGTCTGAAGTAGAATTAAGAATGTAGATAAAGAGATTCCAAATCTGGAAGTTATAAAATAAAATAGGGCAGGCAGAGAATCGCCATGTGCTATGGTTTCAATGTCCCCTCTAAAATTCATGTTAAAATGCAGTCCCCAATTCAACAGTATCGAGAGACAGAACTTTAAGAGGTGATCAGGTCGTCAAGGACTCTGAACTCATGAATGAATTAATATCATTATTTCTGGGGTGGATTAGTTATCTTGGAGATGGGTTTCTGATAAAATGGATGAGTCTGACATGATTTCCTTTCTAGTGTGTACTTGTTTGCCCTTTTGTTATGACATAGCAAGAAGGCTCTCACCAGATGCAGCCCCTTGATCTTAGACTTCCCAGCCTCTAGAACCATAAAACCAAATAAACTTTTCCTTCTTATAAATTAACTGGACTGTGATGTCCTGTTATAGCAGAAGAAAATGGACTAAGACTGTTCATTCGGTCAATCGTAATGATCATACATCTCTATATATCAGATTCTTTGCTTGGTGAAAGAAGTGGGAACAGAAAATAGACACAGTCCATGCTCTAATGAAAGACGTGATCCAGAAGAGCATATACAGTGAATGAATGAGTAAATAAAGTAAATATAGAATTGTGCTATGTGTGGTAAAGGAAAAGGATGGTGGGAACACAAGAATAACAAGGACCTAATGGGTATCGAGTGGGCTGGGAAGTGGTAGTTGAGTGGAAACCTGGAGTATGTGTGGAGGAGCTAGGTGGGCAGTGAAGGAAGGTTGGCCTAGGCAGAAGAAGAACCACTGCAATGAAGATGGAAGGAGCCAAATGATGAAGAGAATGTTGAATGTTCACAGGACAGGGCACCTCTGTGTAGCCAACCATCAATGTAGTAGGAGAAACTACTACATGCTCACTGGTTAGGAGCTCATGGTTGGAGTGGAGAAGGCTTGAATGAGGCTGTGCAGAAATGAACAATAACAAGGAAACAAGGTCCAGAATGTGTCCCCAGGAGAGAGTGGACCTATCTGCAGTGCTTAATGTCCTAGGCCCTTTTTCAGCTCACAGTTTGGGTTTACATGAAAGGAAAGTGGTAAACCATTAAGAGTTTTGAGAAGGGAAGCAATTTATCATATTTCCCCAGAATGAGAAATAGATCAGGGAGACTAGAGGCACAGTGACCAGTGCAAAGCATTGCAGTAACCCAAATGAGGGATGATGGTCAGCCTAGTCCACCACTCATAGGATGAGTCTGAAGCTTTTTGACACTATTTTCTCATGTTATTTATACCTAAATCTTAGATTTTTCCCTGTTTTTTCCCCCTTCCCCAAATATTAGTATTTCAAAAATTCTTTGTCTCTTTTTCTCCCTTCTCTGTTGCCTTTGTGAGCTCCCCTTTCTCTTCTTCTCTTTTTCAAAATTATTATTATTATAGATTCTGCCTGAGGCCTGATTCTAACTCTTCACGTTATGCTATAGCAATCACATCTATTCCTGCAGCTACAAATACCATTTATATGCTGGTAACTACCAAATCTGCATGGTCAGCCCAGATCTGTCTCTCTGAGCTTCTCACTCCCATGTGCAGGTGATTACAGAACATCTGGGCTTCAATAACATCAAACTCACTTATCATTCCACCAAAACAATCTCTCATGCTCCCTATGTCACAAAGGAGGCCTTCAATCACATCATTGCTCAAGCCAGACACCTGAGTGCCATCCTTTATTTGCATCTCTTCCTCATTTCATTCATCCAGTGAATCACTAATTCTACCTCCTTAGCAGATCTAAATTATCAATACTTTGTAAATAGCTTCTTGACCATCACACTAGTCTAAGTATTCTTTCTCTGTTTCCTGGTTTGCTGAAATAGTCTCCTGCTGTTCCCATGTCTCTAGGGCTGCCTGTTGAAAATACATACTCCCTACCTTGCCTCTGAAATCATTTTTGTTCTTGTGGCAGACCTGGGAACTGAATTCAGGGGCACGCTACCACTGAGATACATCCCCAGGCCTTTTAATTTTTGTATTTTGAGACAGTCTTGCTAAGTCACCCAGCCTGATTTGAACTTGTAATCCTCCAGCCTCAGCCTCCCCAGTAGCTGGAATTATAGGCATGTGCCATTATGCCTCTCTAAAGTCATATTTTTTAAAGGTAAAGTGATTTCTGTACAAACTGATAAAATAAAATTTCTCTGTTCCAAGACCTCATTAATATGAATCTTAACAAAAACATGCAAAGGGAGTACAGGTGGACCAGAGACTTCCACAAAGTTCTGAATGGTGGAAGGTAATTGCTAGTTTAATGATGAAGCCCACTGTAGCCTAGAATGTATCCAAAATAGGTAACAGGGAAGGCTATAAATGAATGGCCAGAAAAATCTCATTAAGGTTTGGACTCAGACATTGTAGAAAGGTCTGTGGATGGGAATGGGAAGTGGGGCTGGCTGAGTA